TGTAAACTATAACTATGAATCCAAGGTCCTGATGTAGTCAGCCATGTAAACTTTCAACGGGATTGATGAATCCATATATCACAAGCGTTGGGATTCTGCACACTAAAGGGAAGTAGAGAAAAAAACCATGAGAGTATAGGTTCTCATACTAGTTGAATGCAAGTTTATGGCAAAACAGTTCCATAGAATCGCGGCTAAGTGCCGCTGGAGGACCGACCGGGAACTCCACTAATAAAGACTGGACATACCTCATTTGCAATACCTTGGGTTGTCTACTATTGCAAATGGTATGCCATCATGGGGGTAGTTTTCATTCCTGGGCTACCATACGGTCTCAAAGGCAACGTAACCAATCTGGTGAATTTCAATGTGAAAAAAATTATTACATATATACGTAGAATTATTATATATAATTAGGGATTATTCTAGCCCTAGTGACTGAATAATCTAAATTTTATTAACGACACGAGGCGTATATTTGCTTATCTTTCTTTACTGAACCTCCCAGCAGCAAAGAAATAGTTAACAATAGTGTAAAAACAATTCAACCAATCAGAGTGTATAACAGTATTATATGATGTCATCAAACTCCTCCCAAGTCCTCTTTCTTGCTGTAGCCGACGATATCCGAGTATCAACCATGTAAACTATAACTATGAATCCAAGGTCCTGATGTAGTCAGCCATGTAAACTTTCAACGGGATTGATGAATCCATATATCACAAGCGTTGGGATTCTGCACACTAAAGGGAAGTAGAGAAAAAAACCATGAGAGTATAGGTTCTCATACTAGTTGAATGCAAGTTTATGGCATGCATACTATGGACAGCAATTTCAATAGATTTCATGTAAAATGATGTTGAGTATGTCAAACTCTTGGTGTTGTGGTTTAAACCTATGACAGATGATGTGTGAATTTGTTTGAAACAGATCGACTAGAAATTTTTATTTTAGTAACTTACCTTAGGGCGGGTACAAATGATAATGAAAAACAAAGAAGGGAGGGAAAATATATGCCTCCTGTCGTTAATAAAATTTAGATTATTCAGTCACTAGGGCTAGAATAATCCCTAATTTTATGGCAAGACAGGAGGCTTCATATTTGCTGTTTTAACGCTCTTATATGATAGAAGATGCAGCATGTGGCATAGGTTTGAAATAGAATGTACAAAAGGTGGATTCCCTGATCCAATCTGCAGACGACAATGTCTGAGAGGGAACTACCCGCACGAAAGGCTGAGGATGCGGCTGCTCGTCTGACTGAATGCGTTCCAAAAGAGGAGTCAATACCTGCTTGGGCTAGTATCCATCTGACCCACCGAGCGACGGTGGGAGCGGACACCGGTTTATGTGGTCTGACATAGGAAACGAGAAGGGGTCCTGTAGGGGAACGCAGAGTGGTTGTGGCATCTATATAGTGCCTTACACAGAGTCTATTCGGAAAGTAAGGGTAGAATACAGAGGAGGAATTAGTCTTAGTTTGCCTGGTGATGTGAAATTTAACGCCCTCAGGCGAAAAAACTACAGCGTGGAAATCAAATGCTCAAATGTCGGAGACCCTACGGAAGGATACCAGACATAGGAGTAAGGCCAGTTTGGCAGAGAGTTGACGTAACGTCAAATTCTCATTAGAGGGCCAGGAGTCTATAAGGGAAAAAACCTGAGTGACGTCCCAGAAATTGGAATATCTTGGAAGAGGGGGTCTGGCTAGCCTGATCCCTCGTGAAAGTCTACAAACTCAAGGGTGCTTTCCTATTGATGCATTGTCAATAGGGTTGTGGGCCAAGAAATAGCAGATCTAAAAACAATAATTGATCTATAGGACCTGCCTTGATCAAAGAGAGTAGATAGAAAATTTAGGATGATCGTCAGAGGTGCTGAAAAGGGATCGGTATCCCTTACCAAACACCCGCTGACCCATGTCCGCCATGCAGTGAGGTAAGCTCGTCTAGTGCCTGGGGCCCAGGAGTCCCATAGGAGGGCCTGAGCTGTCTCCGAAAGTCCCAAGACATTCCAGGATCCCCTGAAACGGTCCAAGCTACAAGCTAGAGCTGCCCTTGAAGGGCGAGTGGGTGACAGCGCCCTGCTGGATTCTTGAGGATGTCGGGGGAAGTAGTAGAATTGGACAATTCCCAGACAGTTCTAGCAGGGTTGGAAACCAAGTCTGGGCTCTCCATATCTGAGTGACAATAACGATCATCACTACTAGGGCTTTGACCCGGTAAAGGGTGCGCTGGATCATGGAGAAAGGCGGTAATGCATAAGCTCCTGTCTCCGGTCAAGGGTGTAGGGAGGCATCGACTGCCCAGGACTGGGGATCTGAGAGCCAGCTGAAAAAGGCCTTCGTCTGGTGATTCAGCCAAGACGCGATCAGGTCCAGTGTGAGGGGCCCGCGAAGACAATGAATTTGATAGAACAAGCGGGGATCCAATTGCCAGTCGCTTACGTCCCTCCAATGACGAGAGAACCAATCTGCGACTAGGTTGTCCATGCCCGGAAGATATTCTGCTCTGGTGGATAAATTCCACTCTAGGCAGAATTGGTAGAGTTCCTTGGTAAGGTCGGACAGTAATTTCGATCGGGAACCTCCTAACCGATTCACATAACGCACTGCAGAGATGTTGTCCATGCACAGTACTAGTGAAAAATTGAAACAATCTTTTGCAAAACTGCGAATCACAAAAGATCCTGCAATCAATTCTAGGCAATTGATGTGCAGTGCTTGTTCAGAGGGGGACCATAGTCCCCCTGTGGACCTTTCGGCGCATGTAGCGCCCCACCCCAAGAGACTGGCATTGAAGTCTGGTTGTGATCCGAAAATGGCTTTGCCATTCCAGGTTTCCATGTTGTGAAGCCACCAATGAAGTTCTATACAGACTTCGTCTGTTAGGTAGATCAGTTGGTCGTAGAAGGTGGACCGGTTTAGATAGTAAGTCTTGAGCCGTTGCATGGCTCTGTAATGTAGGGGTCCTGGATAAATGGCTCAGATAGAGGCAGACAGTAGGCCTATGGTATGAGCCAGATTGCATAGGCAAATCTGGTGGGCTGATAGCAATTTGCAAATGTCTTTTATTATAGCCTTGACCTTTGTAGAAGGTAGTTGTAAAATCGCCTGTATGGAGTCTTTTAGGAATCTGAGAAACTGAACTTTCTGAGAAGGTTCCAGGTCCGATTTTTGAAAGTTGATTACAAAACCTAGGTTTTGTAATAAGGCCGTCGTCGTGTCCGTGTGATGAAGTAAAAGGTCTGGATCTTGAGCCATTATCAGGATGTAGTCCAAATATACAATGGAATGAATCCCCTGTGATCGGAGTAGCGCCATCACTGGTTCCATCAGCTTTGTGAAACACCATGGTGCGGAACAAAGACTGAACAGGAGGCATGTGAACTGCCAAATTTCCTCTTGCCAGAGGAATTGAAGAAAAGCCCGATGGTTGCGGGCGACAGGGACAGTGAGATATGCGTCCTTGAGATCGAATCTGGATAACCAGTCTCCCACGCAAAGGAGGTCCCTCAGGAGATGGATGCCCTCCATTTTGAAATGACGATATCTGACATAGTGATTCAGGTCTTTCAAATTGATTATTGGACGCACGTCTCCGGATTTTTTGTGGACCAGAAAAATATTGCTTAGAAAGGTATGTGGGAAGGGTGATCTTTCTATCGCCCCTTTTTCCACCAGTTTGTTCAATTCTGTGTGTAATGCCAGGTTGTCTGTTGCAGACATCCTAAATGGTGTAGGTGGTGTGTCCTGGAAGGGAGTGGAAAGGAAATCTATTTTGAACCTCTTGACTGTGTGTAGGATCCATAGATCCTGTGAAAGCAGGTCCCACTGTTGGAAAAAATGGGTTAGTCGACCTGCTATAGGTACATTGAAAAAAGGAAGGTTTATTACCTGGAGCAGTGCGTCCGCGTAAGGAGGCAGATCTACATCCCCGGATGGATCCTCTATTGGTGAATAACTGCCTGTGGTAGGGTCGACGGGGTCATGAGTTCCAGTAGTTTTCTGAGGGACGAGGCCTGTAGCCTGTGAAGGCAGCTCTGCTGTTCATTCGGCCTCTATAACGTCCAGCTCTCCCAGAAAAACGACCTGACTGGGATCGAAATACCCTGCATAGGGAGGATTGGGCCTTGTTTAAGGTAGTAAATACCGCTGCACGTTTGGACAGATCTCTCATGAAAGAGTCCCCAAATAACAAGCCATTGGCTTCTGGTCCCAGTTCTCGGGAGCTTAAGTCTGCTAATTTAGCATTGAGTTTATATAGTGCCGCCCTACGTCTCTCAGTGGATATAGCCACATTTGCATTGCCCAGGAAACATGGGGCTCTTTGGGCCCATTCTCGGACTGTGTGAGGGTCAAACTCCCCACTAGTTATAGCTTCGTCAGCTAGTATGAAAATTTGGATGATGGGACCAGCGATATCCAGGAGCTTGTCCTGGGCTGTCTTAAGACCCTGCTCAATACCCTTGCGAGGGTCTTTCCCTGTTTTAGTGAGGAAGGTCACAAATAGCGGGTCAAACTCTGGCGTGAGAGCCACTTTACTTGGTATAGTTGGCCGAGGGCATTCGGCTCTGAGTTTAGCCCTTATTTCTTTTTCAAGGGGCTTACGCAGCCACATCTTGCAAAAATTAGAGATGTGGTCAGGTGGGGCCCATTCGGCCGAACGTGGATGTCTAATGACCCTAGGGTCGAAAAAAGGGACACCCGAGGCATCCAGAAGGGTGTCTGAGTCGGGTCCCTTGGGCATAGAGATGTTTACATCTGTGTCCTTTTGGTAATGAATGTCTCCTTGACAAATTCCGATGGGGTATCCCCTAGTGCATTCGCCGAGGGGTCCTCATCAGAATAGCCAAGGTAGTAATCCTCAACCCCATCGCCCATTTGAGAAGTGGAAGCCTCCAAGGGGTCGAATATAGTTTGGGCGGGGCGAGTGACAGTTAATTTTTGGGACTTGGCAGGAGCCCGCAGACACACTATTCCCTTTCCAAGGACGTGTGACCTCCTGATCCAAGGGCTGAGAGTCCTCTGAGTCAGAGAGTAAATGTGCGGTGGGATTGACTTCGCCAGGAGTCTTTTCATGGAAGGCTGCTAACGCCTTGGGGATGGATTCAGAAATGGTTGAAACCAGCCAAGCTTTAAGTTTCCGAGAGATTGCGGGCTCAGTATTGTCAGACATTTTAGTTAGGACTGTATTAGTGATTCTGACAAATAGTCGTAAGACAAGAATGTTAAATGGGGTTCACCCAATTGTGCTTAGTAAAATTTCTAAGTAAGGGGTCACCCAAATAAGCCTAGTTTGACATATAAGGGCGGCACACAATATATAGTGGGGTAGACCACTAAATTATATAAGTGGATTGTACCACTGTAACAATAAGAACTGGGGTTCACCACACAGTAGTCAGACTTTTATGAGTATGTCTGTAAAATAGTCACTTTAAATAATATATTGTATTATTTGCAAAGGTGAGGGTCACTCACTTGTAGTAATGGTGTTGAGACACCTGTCATAAATTGATTAGAAAGTGAATAAAAGGTGGGGGTCACCCACAACAACATTCAATGAATCAAGTGACAAAGAAAAAGGTGGGGGTCACCCACAAGGCTGTCCTTTATTTAATAATGATAAGATACAGCAGGTATTTTCCTGTCAAGAAAAACAAATAGGTACAAAGAATAATTTGGAAAAAGGTGGTAGCCCTTTAAGGGTGCTATGAGCAACAAGTAAATAAGATACTTACCGGATCCAACGTGAGGTGAAGCGATCACACATAAATAACAAGGTAAACCGCGGTTTAAGATGGCCGCCGCCAGCAAAAGGGCGGGTGGAAGCACGTCAGGTAATTGCAGGCGCGAGAAGGCGGAATCTGAGAAAGGGAGCGAAATTGAGCCGCGGACTCCTGGGAATCAGAACCGAGAGGAAACCGCGGCCACAAATGTAATAAAATCGCGGAGGCAAACCAGACGATTTTTAAAGGGGAACAATGGAGATAAAGTTTAAAAACTGTTCAGAGACATAAATAAACCAACGTGTTAGGTATAATTATATGTAGTAAGGGTATATAAATGTAGTAAGGGTGATAATAAATTGTGTGAGAAACTAGTGAAAATGAATGTTTGATAAACAAAACATTACCACAGAAAATTATTTAAAAATGATAATAGAGATATGGGTGCTATAAAATTTAACAAATTAATGAGAAAATTAGTTCAAATATTGCATTAAAGGCAAAAACCCTAAGGCAATATAATTGGAGCAGACTCACCTGGGAGGCAAGCAGCAAAGAAAGAGGACTTGGGAGGAGTTTGATGACATCATATAATACTGTTATACACTCTGATTGGTTGAATTGTTTTTACACTATTGTTAACTATTTCTTTGCTGCTGGGAGGTTCAGTAAAGAAAGATAAGCAAATATACGCCTCCTGTCTTGCCATAAAATTATATACACCTTAATGTAATGCACCATTTTTTGGTGCTTTCAATATCTCAATATGTCAACCAAGGGAGGGCTGGCAGCCTCAGGCCTGGGGGGCAAATCCAGTCGAGTGGCCCATTGCACCCCCGAATCAGCTCACCATCCATGCCCACCTTTTCCTGGTCTTATAAAGGATACTGATGTTATGCTAATCAGTAGCTTTTTTGCCATACCCACTCCTTTGTGGCTCCAACTTTCAATGTTGTTAGAGCGCAGGCTGAGAATATCTGAGCCTGTGCTCTGGCTCACTAACTAAGCACCGGAACCACAAGGGAGAGGATATGATCTGACTGCACCTACTGCTGGTGTGCACCAATGGACCACCGGGGAATCGTTTAAATTAAATATGCTGGTGTCCCAAACCTCTGAGCTATGTTGGCCGCCGGGCACTTCTGTTATTATGGCGCCCTACGTGACCCCACAGCTTGCACACCTCAAAGGCTGGCCCTGCTGACAGACACACTGGCACTCACTCTCAATAACACACACACACACACACACACACACAAACCCTGACAGACAAACACTCACTGACAGGCAGACACATACACACACACACACTGACTGGCAGACACACACATTCACTGAAAGACACTTACATGACAGATACACTTACTGACACACACACTTACTGACAGTGCCATCTTAACAACATTATGGGCCCCCGGGCAAAGCAGTGCACTGGGGCCCTGCCTACACAACTTACAGGAATAAAAACATAAATTATAGATACAACGAAGAATATATTTAGAAGTACCTCCAACAAATGCAATGCATAGATACACACGACGACTGCTGAATACACGCATACAGACTGTTGAATAGACACACACTGACAGACTGCTGAGTACACACAAAGACAGACTGCTGAGTACACACAGACAGACTGCTAAGTACACATAGAGAGTGCTGAATACATACACACAGTCCGCTGAATACAAACACACACAAACATACACACAGACGGCTGAACATACACACAGACGGCTAAACACACACACAGACTGCTGAATACACACACACTGCAGTGAGGGGTGCAGTGTATGTGTGTACGGGTTCAGTGTGTGTGGGGTGCTGTGTGAGTGTGGGGTGCTGTGTGTGTGGAGTGCTATGTGAGTGGGGTGCTGCATGTGTGTGGAGTGCTATATGTGTGTTGGATGATGTGTGTGTGTTTGAAGGGTGCAGGTAGCAAATGTTTTTTGTTTTTTTAATATTACTATACATTAAATAAAATCTATATGGCCCCCCACCCTTCTTCTTACCTTTGGTGAAAGAGACTGGGACACAGCCAGCCCTGGTGGTCCAATTGTGAATTCTGTAAAACCTGCAGCTTGTCTGGCTGCAGGCTGTCTCCTGTCCTCCTGCGCGCAGAATGCTGTGTGGAGCATTGCTATGGTAATGCACGGCAACGCTCCACACAGCCTGCTTGCGGGAGAAGCGACCTGCCTTACAGGTCGGCCTGTCCTGCTTCCCTTGGTCCTAGCTAACTCTCTCCCCAATTGAAGGGAGATCTCCCTCACTGGCCCAAGACCAGAAAACAGGGCCACCTCTCCATTGGCCAGCAGGGGATATCAAAGGATCTCCCCTGTCGGCCGGGCATGCTGGGCAGCGGGGTAGGGCCCCCATGCCTGTGGGGCCCACGGGCAACGGCCCAGCATGCCCATGCGGAAAGACGGCCCTGACAGACACACACACACACTTCCAGACACACACACTTACTGACAGACACACTCACTTTCAGACACACACACTCACTTCCAGACACACATGCACACACTTCCAGACACACAAACACACACAAACACACTCACTTCCAGACAGATACACACACACACACACACACACTCACTTCCAGACACACACACACTCACTCACTTGTTCCAGACACACACACACACACTCACTTCCAGACACACACAATCACTTCCAGACACACACTCACAAATTAATTTTATTTCTTTTTGCTCCTACCTTTTAGAGTTCTCTGGGGTCTCTCCCTGGGGTCCAGTATCTTTGATGATCTTCCTGCTCCTCTCTGCTCCCTCATGCAGTTTAGTGATGTGGGTCCGGAATGACGTCATATTCTGGCTCCCGGCATCACCAGAGAGGGCGCGCAAGGGAGCAGGAAGATCATCAGCAGAGGCAGATCTCCCTTGTCGCCGCCTGCCTCCTTCGTCACGCGGCCGGTATATTGCTGCAGAGTATGCACCTGCCATCTGGGACAAGCAGGTGCCTACTCTGCCTTGCTACTGGGGCGCCCTAGATGGCCAGTTGGCCGCCTGATGGGCTCCCTGTGACAGGCCATTGGCCTGCTCCGCGCGGCACCCGCCTCCTCCTGGCGACAGGGACAGGCGCTGCAGCGGCCATTTTTCTAATTATTTAGGGCAGCCTGGGGGGCAGTTGCCTCCCTGCCCCCCGACCCAACCCGCCCCTGATGTCAACACTACTGTTGAACTCATTATTCACATCCTTCTATATATTCACTATTATATAATCCTTGCACTGTACATTAGCGATCCTTCGGTGTCCCTCTCACACGTAAGCACTGTTATCTGTATACACGTTGCTATAGGGACATGCCATCCGCCATCACGTGTGCACTTGATGACATCACACAGGGGGCGAAGTACCTTCACGCATGCGCCCGGCATTCAGCTGAATGCTGATGGTAACACAGTTCACCTGGGGTAAGTTAGATCACTGCATTGTTTTCACTTATGTTTTTAATTATGTATGTATATACTCAAGAGCTGTTTGTGTTAGTATTAATGTCTTGATCCTGAGGAAAGTCCACAAGCTGGACTGAAACGTCGATCTATATTTTTTAAATGAAGAAATAAAGCATTGAAGAGTTTATCTCCTAACCGTGAGTGCAGCTAAACTTGTTGGTTTATATATATATATATATATATAAATATATATATATATATAAATTATTTATTTTGTATTATTTTTTTATTTTATTTTTTAACATATTTACATATTTATTTATTTTATATTATATATAAATATATATATATATATATACCACATGTAACAGAAACACCTTATTGGGAAAAATGAGAGTAAGGGTGAAAATATATACTATTACCCTAATAAAATATTTGCATGTAGACAAGGACTCCTTCTAGCCCTCAGAAACAGAATACAAAGTACCAACACACAGGTAACTACAGTACAAAAAATGAGAAAATCATAGGGCAATATTGCTGTATCTAAAACATAATGTAAATGAGTAAATTGCACACTCACAAACCCAAATTGATTGAAGGCATATCAAATAATATGAAGAATATTGTATTCTATATATAAATATATGTAATGAAAATTATATATATATATTTAATCAATATAATTCTATGTGTATTCTGATATTAATATATATATATATATATATATATAAGTGTATGTGTATATGTGTATATGTGTGTATATATATATATATATATATATATATATATACGTAGATCATATATAGAATCGCAAGGACCAGGGGGGCTGAAACGGATGGAGGGGGACTCCCTGGGCTGCCAGGTGAGTCCCCACACCACGAGTGCTGGCGTGGGATCTCCGGCGACCGGGTAAGTAAATAGGACAGCGGGGATGTGCTATGCCGCCCCGCAGTATTTAGAGCCGGGTCCCCAAGGACGGCATAGCACGCTGATAAAGAGGTGTGGCATTTTACATTTAATTTTCC